GTCAAATTCGAGCTCATACCAAGCTTGTAAAGCAATCTGACAAAGAATAACCATTTGTAAATGTTAATAGTAACTCTCTCCCATACTCATTAAAACTGCAAGTATATTATTGAGAAATATTCAGTGTTTTAGCAGAATGATTCCATCTTATTTATTTATTAATGCAGTAGCATTCATCATAATCATTACCAGTGTGAGCTAGCCCAAGTCTGACTTATTGAAGTGGCTTATAAACAGACATTTCATTGAACAAAATAGGGAAGATTTGCTCTTAATCTTCTCTGAAATGTGATACTTGTCTTTTGAAAATGTTCAATATCTTTATGGCTGATATTTTTATTGGTGAATTACAAGTAATTGTCAAAATTGGGTTATTTATTGCTTGTATTAAAACAAGAAAGTTTGCAAGTTGAGTGAATTTAACTATTTCTATATTAAAGTTAAATATAGAAATATATATAATAACCATATATATAATCCAAAAAAACCCCATTGAAAACAATTGTATTAAAGTTGCTTTTGAAGATTTTGAAATATTTTGTATTTTCTGAGTCTGCCTTTTAATATCATTAGCGTGTTTTTTAGCAAGCTTTAAAATCTGTATATGGATTATCAAAGCTCCAAAAATTGATAAAAGAACTAATCCACAATAGATAAAAAGATGAGTAGAATTAAGAGACAAATATCCTTGGCAGATAGTTTTAGTTCCATATCGAAAAAGCGAGGAATAAACCGGAAATAGACAAAATATAAATGAGAATAGAATAATAGAAACAATGGCCACCATTGTTCTTATAGTTGTTAGATAATTTTCATAATGAAGAGGATACTTTACCATAACATATCTATATATAAAACTAAATAATTGGAAATATACGTTATGACTGTACAATATCGGCTGACTTAAATTAATAAGAATACACGTAATGGGAGAAAGATTTTCAAATTTGAATGATTTACTTGAAAGTGTAAAAAGTAAGAACCATATAACTATTAATAAATCACATACCGTTACAGCAGGTATGAATACAATTGTTGTATCGCGGACATTTTTAAACTTTCCATATATTAATAAAACAAAACTATTTAAAATTATTCCCAAGATTGACAGTAATATCCAACATGTTTGTAAAATTTTAAACTCCAGTTCTGTATATAGTATATGCAAATATATTGTAGTTGCCGTAGTTGCTGCTGTAGATTGTAGCATTCTCTTCTGAATTGATAATAACCGAATGGAAAAAGAATTCTAATCTAATCGCATTTCTATATTATTTGAATGTCAATACTCCTAATTAGATTTATTATTCCGGAATGGAAGTTATTGTAAATATAAGAGAGAGTATCTCTGGCCGCTTTTGTGTTTGCTAATTGCTTTCATTCAAAATACTCTATTTCTAATAATATACTGATATATACACTTAATAGCAAATACTTTGTTTTCATACCTGTTTTTATTCAATTACAAAAGGAAAAATATTTAGCCAACAGGGCCATTTTCTCTCAATTGCAACAGATATTTATTATCATGATATGAATGCAATAGATTTGATATTTCCCTTTAAGCTATGTCCATGGTTAACCCTCTGTATTGAGTTCTAGTTAGCTTTAGCTTCTAGTTCTAGTTTAGCTTTTCTGTATCACAGAATTAGCAAATAAATATTAGGTACGAATGAAAAGTTTCAGTCACTGTGCTATAATTTTAAAACGGCTTAACTAATATCAATGATACTTTCCAATAATCTAAGGAAATTAGTAAACTTTCACTGTGCAAACTTTCATTCGATTCTGTTGAGGCATTACAAATTTATTTTGGTATAAGCAACTGCAAGTCATGTGCACACGTTCTGATCAACGACCAATCATAGCATTTTTAGTGCATGAGAAGGTGTCTGCGAGACAAATTTATAAGCAGTTAAAAAGCTTTTGTGGGGATGAAACTCTGAGTGAAAGTTCAATAAGGAGGTGGGTATCTGACATAAACAAAGGAAAAAAAAAATTTGAAGATTTGGCAAGATCTGGTCATCCAAGCACAGCTGTAACAGGTCAGAATAGAGAAGAAATTGACAGGCTTATCAGAGAAGATCAGACCATTTCTCAGAGAGCAATCGCCCAACAAATAGAAATTTGTCAACAGACTGTAGGGAAAATTATAAAGGAGCTAGGATACAGAAAGATCTGTGCAAAATGGATTCCTTATGCTCTCAATCTGGACCAGAAGCAGGTGAGGGTGAGTCATTGTATGGAGCTACTTGAAAGATGCAAGGCAGAAGGAAGAGACTTTTTAGAAAAAATTGTGACTGGAGATGAAACCTGGGTACACCTCTATGATCCACAATCTAAAAGGTCTTCTTTGACTTATAAACACACATCATCTCCACCTGACAAGAAGCTTAGAATGGCCAAGTCAGCAGAAAAACTGATGTGCTCAGTTTTTTGGGACTATTCTGGTTTAGTCCACATTGAATTCATGGAGTATGGAGAAGTAGTCAACTCAATACAATATGTTGAGACCCTAAAGAGACTAAGGAAGAGGTTGCATAGAATTAGACCTGGAAAACAAATGATACTACAGCATGATAATGCAAGACTGCATACAAGTCTCTACACAACAGATTTCATAAGAGATCAAGGGTGGTCATTATGCCCTCACCCAGCCTACAGTCCTGATTTGGCTCCCTCTGACTATTATCTTTTTGGGAGATTGAAGGACCATATCAGAGGATCCCATTATGACAATTTGGAGGAATTGAAGACAGATGTCAAAGATTTTCTGAGGAGAAAGCCAACCTCGTTTTACCGGAACAGCATCACTCTACTTCCTAGCAAATGGCAGGCTTGTATAGAAAAAGGAGGGGACTATTGAAAAATTAAATTATCAATATTTGTAGCGTATACTTTAGGCTTTAACATACACAAAAATTAACCACATTCATCAAATATTTCTAACAAAAACACAGAGTGATTGAAACTTTTCATTCGTACCTAATACATATGGTGAGTTTATTTGGAACTAGTTGAAAAAGGTTGTAATAAAATTTTTGTAGATTGAGGAATGGTGAGGAGGAATAAAATACTTAATAATTGAAATTACATTTATTAAGACTATTTGTGAAGAAGAGATTCAATTCACCAACATTAACAACAGTACAATCTTCCAACCCAAACCTGGTAATTGACCTGAATGATGAGAATGAGTGTACTTTCCTGCTGCGGTTGTAGTTAAGTACTGGTCCAAATAGAACAGAATTAGGAGTAAGCCACTTGGAAGAGAAGTGAAGAATTGAGGGAGGATGAATATAGAACCAAAACGTAAGAATAATATAACTGTATTCTAAAGTAATACTAGACCGGTTCACTAAAGAGGGTTGATTCATGACTGAATGCCTGTTACTACCTACACCCTGCTTTTATACAATTTCTTATCAGTTGTTTTGCACCTTAGCTGTCAACAACAAGGGTCAATTGTTACATCATATTTATGTAAATAAATATTTGTTGTTGTTGTTGTCAACATGTTTGATTATGTAACATGTTATCCTTTGCCTAAAACGGGGTTGATTCTGGCAGTTGGGTACCATCTACCCCAGAGGCAACATCTACTTCAACACTTCTACCTTATAGTAAGTATTAGGGTTAGGTTAGGGTTACAATATCTATAAACTATAGTTCATAAGTGTACAATGAGGATACACTTCCTGAAAAAAGAAAGAAATTGAACAACATTTAAATGTGTAAATAATAACAAACTAAATCTAACACTAAGTAGTTTTTTGCAAAAATGAAAAATATATGTCTTACATAACATATTTCAACATCTATATTTGCATTAAACAGATGCCGCCATAATATTTCACAATAGATGGCACCACCAACATAAATTTCATGTATAAAAGCCAAAATCTGTAATCTTTTCCCATTTTTACCTGGTGAAGGCTAGTAAAAGCCGAAACATTGTAAATTTTTTTTTAATAAAATAAACATTTTTAACTTACAAAAATATTAACTTCTTGGAAGAATTTAAGGTCAAGAGACTACAAGATAAGATAAAACTTTACCACCTAACCTTTACCTACTACAATTGTTACATAACCTTCAAGTAGAACCCTAACCTAACAAGGATAAAGAAGGTTACATTCCACAATAACAAAGGAAAAGATAGTACTAACCATTTCCTACAAAATACAATCATCAAGACCTGACCTAGAAGTGTTTTGTGTGTGGCCCCAAACCAACCCAACCAAACCTAAATCCTAACCTATATCTAACATATATTGTTAATAGTTTGTCCAATGGATATTTTGTCCTACAGAAGTTATGTCTAGGCAACATTTGTCCAGCATTTATCTAACATTATTATTTATACATTCAGACACACCTATCACTTTTTACAAACTGGGCATCTTTAGCATCTTTCAAAATATCTGAATCATTTGTTCACTACTAATCCTTCTTTCAATGATTAGAAAAGAAAATGACTAGAAAAATTTTAATGTAGTGAACACTTCAGATGTGGTGGAAAATTTTCATAAATCTATAATTTTAGCCTAAGCTTAACCTAGTCCTATTTGTTTACCTAACCTTTTTGAATGCCCTTAACTCTTAGATGGAACCCACCCTAGTATATATCAATAGTTTTCTTATTTCTCTTAGACATTTTCCCACGCTGAAGTCTAACCTTGAAATATCTCACACATGGCTGTTTTTAACAACAAAAACTTTTTCGAAAATAGTCAAGTAAATAATATTCTAAAGTTGAATAAAAAGTTTTTAAACTTTTTAAAATATGCAATATTCAACAGTTTTTGTGGTTCATTCACAACCAATTTCTGTATCAGTTCAAGTTCCAGCTATAATGTTGGAAGATTATCAATTTTATTTTGTTTATTATAAGAACCCGATTGGAACTCCTGAATGCAGGTGTTTTTGTACATTAACATTTAATTTTTTCTTTCACCTGTACTGGTCCAGGGTCATCAATTAGTTTTGAATTAAGAACATATGTTTATGCAGTTGAGAGTATGTAATACTATAAACTATCTTCAAAATGTTTATTAAAAAATTCCAATGTTTCATTAGCTTATGGTGCTAGTAGTCTACCTTTAAAATATGGGGTTGAAATTCATGTATCAAGTGAGCAATCCTCACCAACTACAGTTAAAATAGTTGGTGATGAGGAGGATGGTATTTGCAGGTAATTAGTTCAGTGAAATTAAATTATTCATCATCATCTATATGATTATTTTTCTTAATCTCAGCTTAACTCAACCAGACTCTGCAATAGCTACAACAAATTATGTTGGATCAACTCATATTGGAAATGATGACATGATAATTACAGTTACTAAAACTGGTTCTCAGGAATCTCTTCTCATGGTTTCAAACTGCATGTCTGGTGGAAAGACATTCAATACTGACATTCCAGTTTATTTTGCAGTTGGTGCTCCTTCACCATGGGTATCTGCAACAGGAGATCCACACTTTGCTCAAAGTGTTAGGAAGTGGTAGAAACAAACTTTCACTTTGGAAGGCATATACTTGAAAAAGTCAGTTATATTTCCTAAATTAATTTTGGACACAGTGCTTCTTAATATATTTCACAGAGGTAAATTTCTAAATACTGTTAAGCAGATTTTTCAATTTAATATGTTTTCTTTAATAGCAAATAATTTCAGTTTTTGTCATAAATAAAATTTCAGCCATTTTGAATATTTGGAAAGGACATTGATTGATAACTGACAATTATTTTTAATAGTCAAGTGAATTTGTTCTGATTTTATAACATGGCTTTGAAATGTAATAATTGTGATTCAAAAATTTATGGAAGGCAAAAATATTTGAAATGCTGCCTTTGTGAGAATCTTATCCATAAAAAATGTATAGGTATATTAGTATTTAATTATGTTTTAGATAACTATATTTTGTTAACATATTGACACAGAAACACCTAGCATACCAGTTTGCACAACATGTAACAAAAGAAAATATTTTTGTTAAAAAGAGTGGTGAAATGAAACAAGTACCTCTTGTTTTCATTTTCTTAACTTCAAAGCATACCAAAGCATATACACAAGCATTTCAGGTGAATATTTCTTATTTTCTCTACAGGAATTTTGATGAAATATAATTGTGTTTGCAGCATATCAACAGTCTGATAAATGATGAGCATCCCAAAAGAATTACAATGGACTTTGAGAAAGGACTATGGAAAGCATTATTAAAAATATACCCCACTACTGAGTTTCAAGGTTGTGTGTTTCATTTCACACAAGCAGTATATAGGAAATTACAGGTAAGATATATTCATATAAAACATATTGGACATTGAGTAACTTGAATTATTGAAAAGGCTCTTCACTATGTGAAGAAATATAAAGAAAAAGGAGATGACTGGAAAGATTTCAGACAATTGATGGCACTCCCGTTTTTGCCACCACATATTATTCAACCAACATTTGACAGCTTAAAGAAAGAGCTTTTTGAAAAAAAATAAGTTCTTGGATCTCTTAGAATACTTCAAAAGACATTGGATGGAAAATAAATTGTGGAAACCAAATAATTGGTCATGTGACTATTCAATACTGATTCTGTACACATACAATTGTCAACTTTATTCTATAATAGATAGGTAGTTTTGAACCAATACTGTCCTATGCAGATAACACTGATAGAAGTAAGCAGTATTGACCTTGTTTCACATAGGGCAGTGCATATGCAGTGAGTGGCAATAAATTCTATTAAATTATCCACAGAGTATCACTATATAACCTCTCAAAATATTTATAGACACTGCCAGTTATACTCTTGATTGGAATTGAATTCTTTATTTACTTTATTTGGAAGAAAAAACTGAAAAGAGTTCAATTTACCAGACTGTCTAAACTATTGACATAAACAAAAAGATTACACAATACTGTTCATTATATGCATTAATCAGATATGCTTCCTCTGCATATAACTCATCCTACATTTATTCACTGAATCAATTAATACAATAAAAACATGACTGTATTTACAACTTTTCTTTGTCTTAAAATGTTACTTTTGTTTTTGTGAACATTGAAATTTGTCAACTATCAACCCCTTAAAGGGTATTTAAATTCTACAAAATTAACAGTTGATAGTTCACTTTTCTAACCAGCAGCTAGTTGTTTAAACATGCTTGTTTAGAACTAGAAGCTCTGGCAGATATGTTAAAAGAAATCATAAAGAATTTTACAATATATGTTGTTTTTCTTACTTTGAATTTAGGGAAAAATTAAGATAGTCATCTTTTTATACTTGGGGTTAGGTTAAAGTGAAACTGTCTGGCATAAATCAACAAAAATTCTTTTTATATTTTACACTACCTTTTTGTATTCAAATTTGTTGCATAGTTTAAAAATATACAAAAGAGGGTTGATAGAAAATGTCCACAAATGGTAAATTTCAAGACAAGATTTTGGATTGAGAAATGATTAGGAAGAAGAAGACAGCAACTGATTTGTACTTAGGAGTGTCCCATCTAAGGGTTAGGAGTAAGGGTTAGGGTTAGGTTGACAGATATAGGTATTTGGCTGTTGGTTACATCAAAGACTGTCCTTATCAGCTATTTCTTGATGTAAATCTACAGGTCAGATTTGCTGAAAACTCCTCCTTATTCATTTGTTGAATATGTCTGAGAACCTAATAGATTATGTTTGTCAGCTGGGTAATGGTTTTCAATTGACATCTGAATAAAGTTTATAAAAAAGATAACAATGCAGCATTATAATAACTAGTGAAATAATAATGTAAATATTGGCATGTAGTTAAGACAAATCATTGTAATAATTGATTGAGTAATTATATTGTAAATGTTAAAAAAATTATTTTTTATATATTCTTATTGCAATGCAAATTGATTTTATTCAATATAACCACTAACCATGGATTTAAGAAAAGTGTGGTTATAACAGGTCAAAAACTAAATGACAATATTGATAATCATAATAATAATAGTATCTAACCTAGCATAGATTGACATAATTTAAGTACATAACTAAAACCAAGTTACATATATGTAGCTGTTGCCTAAGCCTGTTGAATTCCAATTGCTCTGTAAGACAGAGACTCTTGCAGCTTTTTCATCTCTTCCTTTCTCTTGACAATGTTTTCAATTCTCTCTCATAATTTCTCCTAATTTGTAAATTTGTGCACTTCTTTATTTCTGACATCAACTTCAGGAAGTAATTCCTCACTCCCACTAAAATTACTATTCATCAATAAGGAAATTTTAGGCCTAAGATTATATTAAATACAAAGATCAAACAAACAATTTTTATCCCAGTAAGTAGTGATATCTGCAGTGAAATTAATGATTGTAAAAAAAAAGAGGATGAAATGTACTACCACTACCATTCTATTGAATTTTGTTCAGACCTTCCACAATTATCAACATTCTTCTATTATTTAGAAAAGAAAAAAACAATAAAAACATGAGCATATTTACAACTTTTCTTTGTCTTCAAATGCTACTTTTGTTTTTATGAGCATTGAAATTTGTGAACTATCAACCCTTTAAAAGAGTATATAAACGAAAAGGTAGTGTACAAATGTGTGTCCATTTTCACTTAACAAATTTTTTTGTTGTCTCATGATGAAACTGTGATGAATTTCCAATGGTTTCATTTAAAAATCATAGCTATTTTAATTAGTTAAAAGGGTAAAATTAGTAAATAAAAAGGCCAAAAATATGTATCATACAAAAATTTTTGTCTGTATGTATATTTAATCTGCTGATTTTTAAAGATTCAACTCAGCACATATGCAATCTTTGTGAACCATCTCCCAAAATGACATTGAAATTTTTCAATTCACACTGAGATATTTAATTTATTTCTTTTATTAAAGTAGAAAAAGTTGACTGTGTTAAATATGTATTGTAAATATTGGTAACTGATGTTGACAGATTACAGAAACGAAATCTTCTATCTCGTTCATGGTATTATTTAAATCAACTCTTTTAATTTCTGAACAGTTTTTCAGCAAAGTTCCAAAATAATCAATTTATTCTCTGTTTTATATTTCAAGGTTTTTGATGATTTTGAAAGTTCATTGCAAAAATAATCCAATTGATTTTTGCTTCTGTGATATTCATAAAAATCAATTGTTTCTATTTCAAAGCAAGGCTTTAATAAATCTCCTAATACTTTGCATAGACCTTCAATTGAACAGAGTGGAAATGAAACATTTTTCAATGATTTACATGATGGTAAAAGTCAATTACAGGTTCACCACTAAATTTCAATAATTTAAATTTCATCTTAAAAAAATGAAAAAACAAAATAAATTTTTGAATATCTTGTAAAATTATCTTTGATTCAATTTGTTCATTTATAATCTTCAAGTTTAAACTTAAAGAGGCAGTAATACCTCCCCTTTTAAATTTCAAATTATCTACATTCCAAATTGAGTAATAATCCAATTTTGGCCGAAATGTAAATAATTTTAAAGCATAGTACTCTAGTTGAGTTTTATAGAATGTAAACAATACAGAAGTTGGATCATATAGGAGAGAGGAAAATTGTTGATTGATTGTAAATTCCATAAAATTTTAAGTTTCCAATTGTAGATATTTGTTTCCTTTCTTTGTATTATTGTAAATTGGAGAAATGAGATAGCTATATGAATTTTCAATTTCTCTTGCTATAATCAAAGACAATTGTTTATCTGAAATGTTAAATTTTTTCGAATTAGAAAAAGAAATTTTTAATTAAAATTTTACTTTTACCATTTTTTTTGAATTTGAATTAATTTGAAAATATGGATTAAAAGTTGAATGTAATTGATTTTCAAATGTAAAACCACAAAATTTTTTATATATACTCAGCTTTATATTGTGCAATGTTAAGCTAACAGTATTAATAATATAAAAAATGTTCAAGATGTTTGAAGAAATATTTATTTAATCAAAAAGTTGTAAAACATCTTTTCCCTTCTATTGGCCATTTCAGAATGTCCAAATAAACATGCTTTAAAAATTTTTAGAGTGTCTTGCCAACATTTCTAAAAATTTGTTCTGAACACCTAAAATATTATTATGGTATTGAAATTAAAAATCATAGTTTGCAGTGAAAAACCTCATAGATATATTAATATAAATGCAGATGCAATTGCTCTATAGTTAAACCTAAACTGTAATTCATGCAGATAGAAAAAAATTATGAATTGTATCTTCTGTAAAATGGCATCAAATAACGTTTTGATAATTTTGAAATTAGTCCAGAAAGACACATGAAATATGCATTAAGCCAAAAATAATGATACATTAAATACATATTTATGACAAAACAAAACAAATGTTTCCATTTATTATCAGGAACAATATGACCAATGTAAAGGAAGTTATTTAGAAGAAGACTGTAAGAGAAGTTTGGAAGGCAATAATTGTGAAATAGAAATCTTATATATATCAGTCTACAATGGTTCATCTTATACCAATCTAGAATAGTTAAAAGAAAGAGTAAACAAAAAGGAATGTAATTTAA